TTTGGGGCTCGCGCTCAAAGCGATGATACAAGATACGCGCGCGATGGTTATACGTTAAAATTTAACAGTGCAACAAATTACAAATTATGATAAATGGGTGTTTTATACTGGGAAGCGATCGTTATTATTATTACGATGATGATGATGATAATTACCCTTGCGGCTAGTTTGGGCTTGATGGCGGATTTGACGAGCGTGACTATGTGGTCGATGAAACTCGGGGCGTTGATGAAGTGGAGACCCTTTATCCTCGCGCCGTAGGCTTTCTGCGAACCCAAATAACGTTGGTGAATTTTTTTTTTTTTTTTATTATTATTACGCTAATCGAGAGAGAGGAAGGCTTTTTTTCGCAGGCGTTTAAAAAAAGATTTGACTCTCCCCCTCATGCAGATAGAGAGGCGTGCAATGATACTCACCGTGGCCGCGACCTCGCACTTCTTTAGTATAGCCGGGGTGAGTTTGGCGAGATGGCCGAGTCGCATCGCCGAGAGATCGTAAATGTAAATGTCCCCGAGGCTGCGGCACTCGGAGATGCGGACGTCACCCACCATAAAGGTGTACCTACCAACCAGTTAACGAACATTTACTTTTCCTTCTCCCCCACCACACCTCTCTCTTTCCCAATCGACCTCCCATTCGGCTTTACGGTCCCGTTTCTTTTTTCGACTCCGGAGCTACTAGGGTCCGTAACTACCTGCCCTTTAATGGCCCTCCCCTCCGCTATACGACTTCCGTGTAATCGAGATCTGCGCACTTGGCGTTACTCGAATTAACGTCCCGTTGATTACGTTTGCGTCTACACGATTGTACACGAATTCAAAAATCTCTCTACATATATATGCAACACGACAAAATTGGGTATGTGATTGTATTTTTCTTTTTTTTTTTTTTTTTTTTTTTTCAAACGGTACCGATCGAACGAGTTAAAATCCTCGCTTTGGTTGGGTTCGAGTGGGCATATAAACAAGCGGGAGTTGATTTTTTTTTTCTCCGTGGACGTAGAGTGGACACACGAGGGTCACGTAGCGGCGATTTGCACGGGCGAGAGGGGCAAGGAAGGTCACGGGGGTCTCTCTGGGCAAAGAAAACGAGGAGGGAAAAAAAAAAAAAAAAAACTCACTTGAACAGATCCCAGGGCTGGAATTTGGCGGCGTCCTCGTTGAGCGAGCGCAGGATCGAGACTCTGTATTTTTCCGGCGTGAGTTTCGGTAAACAGACCCACTGGCTGCGAACATGAAGAAACAACGCGGCCGATGCTTGATCACTTTTTTTTATTTTTTCTTAGCCATTGTAAACCGATTTTTGGAAAAACGTGCTTGAACGCTCATTGATCAAAACAGTTGTTCCAAAATACCTCCGTGCAATTGCAATGTATAATCCCGGTAACCCCCCGCGCATATTGGTACCAAGGTACGTGCTGAAAAATCGCATACTCACAGGGTTTCGTAGAGACTCGTGACCGATTGGGCGAGGGGATCCCTGTCGGCAAAAAGCTCGGGCACGAGTTGCCTGACCGTGTAGTACATGTCGAGCTTCTGTTTGGCCAACTCGAGACTCTGCTTCGTACTAATTACAAAGTACTCCAATCTCCGCTCCTCCATGTCTGTTGCACGGGACACGCAAATCATGTTTTGCTTTTAACTCGATCAACAATACGTATATACATACATTCTCATATCCTCCCGGTATATACCAATTATACACTTGTCCTGTGAGTGCATCATATACGTGGATCTGCTGATCAACGGTACACAATGTATGCGGCGTTGCACACGTATAATTACAATACACCCCATGTATCGATGCAGCACACACGTACACACACGCACATGTCCAAACTACTCTAGATTCAATATTATTGTAATCAGTCCTGTTCAAATCAACAATTTGGCAATGTGTGGCAGCGCAAGCAACCCCAACCGATAAATATAGAGGCGCACACGTACTTCTGTGATGGGGCACAGTTCCAACGAAAAGAAACAAAAGGAGAGAGAAAAACCAAACAGCGTGTGTATAGGTATAATAATATATAGTTCCCACAATTTTTATCAAATGCCCGGTATAATGAATATGTACTGCACCTTGGGGCAGATGGGGCTGTAGCTCGAGCCATTGTCGCAACTTGTCGCGCAGCTCCGATAGTTGCCGGTCGCTGCCTCCCAGAGCCTCGCAGAGCTCCTCGTTGCTGCAGGACTCGAGCAGCTCCGTGGCCATTTTCTGCCTTTCTTATACGTGATGTATACCCACGTGTGTACAGCCACAGCAAAATTTCACCGACCGATGACTTTCTTCCTCTATATATATATATATATATATATATATTGTACATGTACCGTGTGTCACATGATGAGCTGCGAGCGCTGTTGGTATATATATATATATAAATAAATACGTGATGTTTTGTGCGTCGACGTGTTGGTATAGGTGTATATTTTTATCTGTTAAGCTCGGAGGGAGGCTCAATCGACTTCCAATTTTCTGAAGGAGCCGTGGATGCCGAAGAGCTCGTCGAGGTCGATTGTCGGGCCGGGCCGGAGCGACTCGTCCACGGTCACCTTTTCCTCCTTCAAAAACCAATTGCGCCACTCCGACAACTTTTGCCGCCATTTTTCTGAAAACCCGCACGTGGCGTATTAAACATTTTCAACAAACCACCCATTGCGCGTCTACCTATATGTATACATTATATACTGCACCATCTAATTCGTCCATCGACGGCTGCTCGCCACCGTAATCCACGGGCAGTACCGACTTTGGCACGTGCTCGTACAAAGACTCGATACCCGACGAGTGGACGTGTATCTACACGAAACACAATATTATAACTATTTTCACATTGGTGATTCAACGAAACGTTTCAGAGGTGCCGAAAAATCTCCACGGCCCCTTTGATAATACATAATATAT